CAATGATGTCATTCATTGAATAGGTGAGCCTCGCATTGAATTGTGGGATATATGTGTGAACTAAGAGATTTCAGAGGGAGTACATGCTACATGTAGGTACATCCTATTAAAAATCTGACCCCAGCGAGGAAGACGAACAAATCGAGACACTGCTCTGGCAGAAAGATTTGCTGATATTTCAAAATGTCATAATTTCGTTTAATCATTTCAGACAAAGAGTCTAACTGTTTTCAGTTAAATTTACTGCAAGTATACGAAACATAGGACAAATATTCAAAATGTCCCATGACACTAGATGCCATTTTGGACAGCTAATTTTCAGACAACGTAAGCCCAGAAAATATTTTCGGATGTCAATTTCTCTGTTTTTCCCAAACCAATTATATAATCATTGTCTAGTTTATCTCCATGTGGTATTTCCTACATTCTCTATACATGTAGAAAAGGTGTCTATAAACTTATCTCGGTAATCAAATTTACAGTGACCCGTACATGTATGCAGACAGAAGACAAAAAAACAATACACTGGTACATATGTGAACATTTTGTATTCATGTATTTTAACTCAAATAAATATACGATTAGAATAAGAATTGGCTTGTATAAATTATATGATGGATTTTTCTGAAAAACTCTGAATTTTGTGTAAGCAAACAATTAGTTTAAAGAGAGGGAGTCGTCGTCTGCGCATGCGTCAAATAACCATAGCGTGTCATTGTTTAAAAACAAGCATCTACCCATGAGCCTTTGCATTTTTATCGTGTGTTGTTGTCGTCGCTTGGGACGCACATGCGCAGGTGACAACCCTCCCACTTTAAACACATTGTTTACGTCATATGCGAACCATATCGAACACAACAAGTTGCAACGAACTTTAAAATGAAACTTTGGGAAATGAAATATCATGGGGAAAACTCTGATCTGACTCTGATACAAAAAGTAAATAATTGCAGAAACTTATGCTCAACACAATGCCAGTTAGTCTATTTTTTGGCTATCCGTTAAGACTATCAGCAGGTCTAGCCAATTATTATTGTACCCAACTCCAAACTGATACATCCCTGAATAAAACAATAAATATATAATTCTTTCTTTGAAGAATGTTGACCAAGAAATGCACGTTACTGTGTATAATAGCTTTTGAGGAAAACTCAAATTTGCATATCTCAAAAATTGCGACTTGTGCTTATAACTGCTGTTACTGTAACAAAATCTTGTCTTTTTTTTATCCCAGGAAGCTTTTAATATTTCTTGCCTGGGTAGGGTTTATAGTATTAGCATACAAAGCTTCACAAGTCAAAACAGAGACTGTGGAGTTTGATCCATTTGAAGTGCTTGGCATTGACAGGGTAAGTCCACATCCTTGTTGTCTCTGTATAGTGTTCATGCATGAAACCTGTCTGTGCTTCATTTCAGTGAATTAGCGTCGATTGACCAACTTCCCACCTCCCATTTCACGTGCATCTAGCTAAACAACCAGGAAATTTGGTATATCACCTAGATTTTAATTTAAAAAAAAAAAAAGTAGCATCTGGACCATATATCAATATATTTCTGAAATCTAAAAGTTTAAAATACTGCAGTTTTAGAATTGTTATACACAATGTTGAGTCCTGCATCACTGGAACTCAAGGAAAACCACTATGAAATAACAAATTTTTTTTTTAGCTCCGCTGTCGACTTTGTCGAGTGGAGCTTATCATATGAGTGATTGTCCGTTGTCGTCGTCCGTGTCAATGTTTTACTTTTGCGACTTTTTCTTGAAAACTACAAGCCTGAATGCTTTGATACTTGGTGTAGACCTCTCTTAGGTTTGTTCGTTTCATGTTGATATCTTCAATTTTCCAATTTTGGTGAATATTTTTGTCATTTTTGGTAAAAAGTGATATTTTTGACTTATGGTTAAAAACC